AAACAAAATGTTGTTTTCAGATGCAAAGTTGGCCTTTTATCGAATTTTACTTTAAATAGGCTCTCGATTTATTTGAAGTGTATTCGTATACACTAGGGGCATATTGCCCTGAAAATAACAATGGGACCCTCACAAAAACAATAAACAAGAACGAAAACCAATAGCAAATGCTTGAAATCAACTTCTTTTAGCCATTATCAAGGAAGGGTGAGATTGAGCCACCCAGCTCTACACCCCATGGCGTTAAGTGACGAAAATTGGAGACAAGGTGTTTCTTGGGATACCAGTGTACATTAGAATAATTTCCATGGCTTAAGTAGTTTTCTTCACTGTCCCTGATGGGAGATTTTTTTCCTCACAAGGGACAATGAATCGTTAAATCATGACGAAATAATCTTGAAATGGCGTTCAGTTATGGCAAATATTCTTGATGTAACCGGCCGATCTTATATTGGTGCGATTCTATCACCCTCCCTGGAATAGCTGGATCAATTAGAAATAGCTTTAGTGAGATTTTAGCCACCTTAATCATTGAAATATTGTGTCATTATCAAAGGCCCTTCACGTCTTTATCTCGTGGCAATTTGCGAACCTTTTGTGCATTACAAAATACATTTTTCATTTGTCATGATAGTAATTAAGATATTTGTTGATAATCTTTTGTCTCAAAGAAAATATTTTTCTTTTTGTGTTCACTACAGTTTTCATGAAAAACTTGATAAACAATAGGTTTACCAGAATCCTTTGCGCTCACATCAGGTCGCTTATCGCATGGTGCTAACGGATTTTAGGCTTACTTTGCCCAGTACGTCATATGATATAACAGTTCCACTACTAAGGAAACTGAATGCTGAGTCTCACATATACCTCTTTTTAACAGTAATAAATGCAGGATTAGTATTTTTCTCCCTAAACATATGTATTCTGCGGGAAATCGGCCTATCCCCAACTGTTTTCACGGCTGGGAATGACGCCACACAAAAGCACTTGCAACTGTTACAGACATCATTCGTGTTCTGGGAACTTCGTGGGAGCCATTTCCCTTCTACACAGGTTCCTCACTCAGTCATGCAATTTTTCAAAATCTGCATGTTTACAGTTTCGCTACCAATCATCACACACAAAGGCTAGGCCAATATTAAGTATAGTAGCAGTTGGTTATTTGCACAGTTTGGCAGCGAAAAGTTTATGATAGAACACATTCCTTCGATTTCTTGAATATTTTTTGCATCTAACACCGATTCTGTCTTTCTTCAGTCCCTTTCCATCACTTCGTGTCACCGGAGACTTTTGCTCGAAGAGCGTCCTTGTCACTTTTCTGACCTTTTGTCTCGATTTAGTTATAACTGTGCTCTTTAGGGTGAATGACGAATAATAGGCCCGCCTGCCATTTTCAAAATTGAATTCATGACTGATATGACTGTTTTGTTCGTGGTCTTGTATCTATAGCTTATTGCTAAACTTCTTAGTTCTTCCATCATATGAAAAAAAAGAATGCAAATTGTTTAACAGTGAAGTGGTCAGTTTAAACTAATTGAGATCTGATAATCGTGCGTCACCGCTAGTGAATGTTAAACTAAATTCTTGCTATTTTTTGTCATGGCATTGAAGAGAGTGACTAAGTGATGTGGGTTGGGGTTGGGATCACGCTCCTCCAATGGAAGGCGTGAACCATTTGGTATTTTGAAGGGCGTGGCATATTAGCATTTCACTACCCCTCACACTACCCATTTACTTCAGAAAAGCTTGGGACAATTTTTGGGACCTAATGATCTACCCAATTTCTTGATATGTAAACATCACGAGCCCCCTTCATTTTCTTTCTGTTAATAAACGAATGGAAAAGTTAAGCAATAAGTTAACATTAAATAGAGTACTAATATCTTTCATTCTTATTATAATGATTACATTTTAGCTCTTCAGTCTGGCTGTTAAATTTTTGAAATAGTTTGTTGTTGTATTCTGTTCTAAACAATTGCTGAACAAAGCTTCAAGAAAATAAAGTTTCAGATTATCACAATTTGGGCTTTTTATCCATACAAGCCTTTATTATGTTAGAATGTGGAAAACATTTCGAATAATTTACGGGAAGCTCTTTTCTACACAACCTTTAAGCCGTTATTTTGTGCTTTTGAGCCTTTGTGTACACAAGGAATGAAATGCGACTTTCGATTTAACAAAATATTAGCAAAGTCTTTTGAACGGCAAAGAGACAAAAATCCCTTTACAAAGAAAGTCTATGTGTATTTTTGTCAGCAGTAAATGTTAGCATTTGCCCGGAACTTACAATAAGGCCTATGACATATAAGTGTGTTTTTGTGACTAATTCGCTATTTGAAACCGAAATTAGAGCTTCGGGTAATACAAAGCGACCTTTGGCACCAAAAGTGCCAAAATGGGACAATTATCTGCGGGTGTCCTTTTGCTATATTATATAGACGCTTCATTTGCGCTATATAGAAGCTCCTCCTTTTTCATCCTATGCTTCCTATGTATTTTCAAAACGTCCGAAAACTACACTGTGCCTTATCGTAGCAATGTCATTCTCTCCTTGAATAGTCTTCTAATTAAAGAGTCATTTAAGCAACGAGATCTCGACTGCAAAGATACTTTTATTTCACTTTTTTTCAGCCTTTAAAACTACTTACGATTTGGAGTTACAAGAAATTCGAAGCTTCACTGAATTTACCGAGAGCTAGGCCTATTCCAAATGGTGCCTTGTGATCTTTCATAATATAGCAAAAATATCGAAAAATTTGAAACTATTCTGGTAGTAGGTTAAAAATACATAAATATATTATATTTTACCAATTTACAAGGTTTATTCAGATTATGCGAGCTATAATACTTATGTTTTACCATTATAAACATCGCTGTAAGCATTTCGTTTTTAATTGTGTGCTCATATATTTTCCTATCTTCAACAGCGTCTCAAAATATGCAATAAGTTCTCTCAGAAGGTTTCTATTCTTAAAGAGTTCTAAAGTTTTCCAGATCTGCTAAGCTTTAGCTTATGCACTAATGCCCCAAATCTTTCTATAAAATAACGACAATAAAATTCAGCAATCGTGAATGAAATTTTTTGGGCCTAACTGGTAATGATACTGCGAGGTTTTCTTCCCTATTTAAAAATGTGCTGTCTACATAGAGTAACGTTCTTTGCAAAACAAATTTACGAAGTTTTGTAAATTTACTCGATGGTTTAATTTTAAAATTTAATTTTGACGTTCGAAGCTTAGGAGCTGTAGATTTTTTAGATGATAACAATATCATTATGGATGAAGAAGAAAATGTGAACTGCACATGTTCAATATGTCAAAATAGTCTAATTGCTTTTTTCAATATTATTCTTTGTTAAAGCTTAATAATAATTTATTGGTTCTCAAAATTTTTTTGTAAAAATATGTTTTTTAAGAGAACGTATCGCCAAATTCCCTTGCTAAGACATTTAAATGAATTTAGATGTAATTATAGATGGCATACATAAATGAACCATATTAGCTTCAAAGTATAAATTTGTTTAACTACCGTCATTTTTCAAAAGATAAGTAAAAGGTTTTTCGAATCCACCCAACTCCTAGAGAATAGGACTTCAACTGGTTTATTTGATTTTCTTGAGTAATAAATTTGAGAAGCACAATTTGAGAAGGTACAAAAATTTTTATGATTACCAAAGAGAGTTAGACTAAAACGAGAACGACAAAGAACAATGAAAGATGCATTGTCGAAATTATAAGAAGATAAGGAGGTAACAAATAGGTTTAGCAAAAATACCTATCGTGTGACAAAAAATTTTTTTTAATTGGAAAGTTGAATTTCCAAGTTGAAATTTTTTTGAAAAAGGCTTGTTCTAAATCATTATATGGGTTTCAGTTTCTAATTTTGTGCAGTTTCTCTAATTAACATGTCTTTGTTGATCACTGCGAGGGGAGGCTGTTTAGTTTTCAGCCACGCCCTTTTAAAAGACTGGCATTATTAACGATGATCGACCAAAAATTGTGTTTGAGAAAATTAAAAAGGTTAAAGAAATTGTGTAAAGGTCTCCAAATAACTTTAGATGGCAAAACGGATCCCCGATACATTTCCTCAAAAACATCAACCGAAACGAAATCTATATAAATAATCTTCAAAAAATTTTAACGATCCTAAATCTCTTTATGAAAAACTAGTTTCGAAAACCGTTGCTTTTAAAAAACGAAGAAAAATCCTAGCACCATGCTGGAACCCTGGCAGCAGATTTTACGCATTTTTGTGCTCAAAATGCTTGATTACATTCCTTGTATCCAATTACATACTTGAGAGATTTTAGACGAAGGAAAAAAATCCATCTCGTTGTACAGCGATTATATCTTTTTTCCTGAGAACACACCGAATAAAAAATGCAAATGATCACTGAACCGTGACAAATTGTTGCTGTGTCTCCCAACTTCTGCCAGCGTTTCGGTCTCTTTGTATCCAGCTCGATAACAGCCCTACTGTGCAAACCTCTGCCCGGCAGCCTCCATATTTATATTTCGAAATACTTATCTTGATTGTTTACATTGCTTAGAACCGAAACTTCAGTAAATATTCTCAAAACTCATATCTACCTTTCATTCAAGTCTTGATTGACCTAAAAGTCTGGGCAAATGACCCTAAAATTGCCGGTACCCTATCGGAGAAACATTTTTCCAAACTTGGAAGGCCTTATTCGGGCGAATTTTGTGTTAAGTTTGGCCAAGCTCAGCGCTCAGCTAATTCCTAATCAGTATTCTCAAACATCGAGTTAAACATAATGGGTGTATTCATTTTTAAAGTGTTAAATTCATTCATTTCAAGCATGAACGGAATCTTCTCCTTGTTAGAAGTTTCGCCATTTGGCACAAAGGATAAGAGCCGGAACAACTATTTTCACCTGCCCGCTGGAGAGAGCCTTGTTGCCTGCAGCCGAGACTGATAATGAAAACGCGGCCACGGTCAACTGGCCCCGTGGCGAGTGGAGATTCGAGGAACGAAATTTTTGAATCAGTCTCAACAAACTCTCGATGAGGGTGGGACGAAGTCAGGCAAGGCGTACGATGTTGTTATAACTTTGTTATACTTCATATAGCCCGTAAGACCTGATCCTCGATCTCTACCTTAGTTAATTATTTATATTGTTTATTAATCAAGGATATTCCGCGTACACATAATGGAACAACTCGTTTGTAGTGAAGGTAAAGTTGTGGTTAGAAGGAGCCATCCTGATCCCGTTCTTCTCAGAGACCAGCGTGTTTTGGATCGACTTTTGAAACTTGAGGACCATTTTTTGCCGCGGTGTGATTATTTCAAGATTGTACAGAAGGAAATTAAGCCATTTATGCGAAGGATGGTGGCAACCTGGATGTTTGAGGTACGGTAAAGTTTTGTATAATTTACCTTCGTGTTTTTAACCGACGCCTCTCAACTTACATGGCGCGTGGCTTTTCTTTTCTTTTAACAAGGTTGTCCGAATTCCATGCGGCGTTCGTGAATATTTCATATGTCATGGCTTATAACTTCACGTTCTGCTATCTCTGTGATAATTTTTTATAAACATCAACGGCGATGACGATCATCAACTTGGCGATTGCCCAATATCGATGTTTATTGATTAAGTTTTTGATGATGTGAGAAAGTTGTCGATTGTAACGTGACCGTGTTCTCGATATTTGAATTGACTTGTTATCGTAGTAATAACTTGTAAATGTTTCTTACTCTAGCTGTGCATGATTTAAATTTAATAGTAATCCTACCCAATCTTAAACCATAAACCTAGACATGCGATAAAACTCCTTCCCTTCAAAATGTTTTGATTATTCCAGGTTTGCGAGGAACAGCGATGTGAAGAAGATGTATTCGCTCTATCTATAAATTTTCTGGACAGATTTCTATCGACCATGTCGGTACAAAAAAGTCATCTGCAATTGTTAGGAACTTGCTGTATGTTCGTTGCAAGCAAATTAAAAGAGACTGCTCCTTTAACAGCGGAAAAGCTTGTTATTTATACTGATAGCTCAATTACACTTGAAGAACTTTTGGTAAGTAACGATGGTGTGATGTTCTTGGTTATGCATGATTTACTTCATGACCCCGCGTTTAATTGCCTGATATTGAATTTTTACCTTGCTTTCATACCTCTTGCGAGCTGGATATGGCGCCGTTCAAACTTTCAACAAATTAAATATATTTGAATCAAAAGAATTTCTCCAAGTATTTGATCAATAACGAGTGATTGTGAGGGAAAAAAAGGTTTTGCGTGAGCGATCTGAAGCACTTAAACGAAGAGGGTTCGTTTTAAAAGTGTAAAACACACAAATTCGAAGGAAACCCTGAATCTGTGGTAAATAATAACAGGAGAGACATGTGCTATCAAAATTCCACAGCCATTTGTACCAACACCTGGCGCACCTGGCCCTCACTAGGGATCAAAGTGCCCGATGCTCCTCCGCGTCGTCCTTTAACTTCAACGTGACTCTCCGCTACATGAGACAGGGAGTCGGACGAATGTTGGACCAAGTAGAATCTTTATTCTGTAAGATTGTGCCTTGCTTTTCCTGAACATTGGCGACATAAACAGATATCCTATAACTTATATTATCTTTGCTGTGTATCTTTATGTAGGTTCCATCCTATTTTCAAAATACCTTCTTTTCAATATTGACTGTTTAATACTTAGAGTAGCAATGGATGCAGCAAATTGGACAACCAGGGAAAACTCGTTAAAACTTACAAGCCCATCCCCAAAACCAAGTCCAGAAAGGACCCCTGCCAAAATGAAAAACATATTCATAATGCATAACTCCTGTTTCAATCAAGATGAAATGTTTGGTTCTGGCTAATTAACCTCCCTAAACTGTCTTTTATTTTATTTTATATCTGGCATAATTCAGCCAAAACAAATGTGGTCTTTTTAAAATTGATGGAGACCTTTTGCTGATAGCCGTCCAATAAAGTGTGCATTAAGGAGGAAATTATAGGGAACAGAGAATATCATATAAAAGTACCATTTCCTCAACTACTGACCCTTTTTGAAAACAAAACTGACTCATTCTCAGGAAAGTCTGGGTCATTCTTAAAAGATTGACTCACCTCATGTCCATAAAAACTAGAGGTGTGGTGCTTCTCATATACTTATTTATAAATGGGATTGGTAGAGTGTTTTACAAAGGTGATTTGCTGTTCTTTTTTAATGTACTTACAAAAAGGGACACCCCAACAAGCAGTTTTTAAAAAATTGCCATTTTTAACAAAATTTGTGCCCAGACTGAGTTTCTGCAAGGAGTTCTAAAGGAAGTTTTTGCTAGATAAGTCATCTGTTCAGTTGGCATTGTTTCAAAGTCCTGAGCAAAATATTTTCCTGTTTTTCTCCTTTTGTGAGGCTTTCAGAGCTTCATTCGACCTCAAGTAGCAGTCTACAATTCAGTGCAATTAAAAGTAAATTTGTCTTTCAGTCACCTGTTCTTTAAGCTATTTACCAAGCATAGCATTTTTAAAACTTCTAAAACAAGTTCATTTTACCAAAAGAACAGTGAATCTCAATATTACAAGTAGGAACAGTCAAAACTCACCAAGCTATCAATTAATTTTTCTTCATTTTGGAATTCACAACCCCCAAAAACATTTTTGTTTATGTATTTATTAATCTTCCATGTCCAATTTCTTGATACTTAAAACTAAAATGATATTCTTAGCAATAAATAAAATGCTATGATTCAGCACCTGTGACATTACAAAACTTTTACACCCACACCAAAAGCAGATAACACAGGTTCCAAAAATGTGACTGAAGTTTTTCCTGCCCTTCAGTTACACTCTACTTTGGGCTTTGGGAGCATGAACTCTAAACCTTATGTGAATGAACAGAAATGTCAAATATATGCACGATACGGTTAAGGAATTGCTTTCTGTACTCTTCTAAATTCATTAATTCATGTCCAAAGCAAGTGTTTTGAAGGGCAGCAGTTCAGAGTTCTCCGATATTTAGAATTTTTTAAGAATTTCAGAAATTTTGTTGTGCAAAACTCATTTATAGTATTTGTGGGTTTGGAACAATGCTGGTTGGAGAATGCACCCACAAAAATGGCCAGAAATGTTACGTATTTGTAACATGGTTCATTGCTAGCTGCACAATAAATAAGTTGCTGTATTGTTTGGTATCTAGAATTTAACCTGATTGCATCCTATGTATTTGAGCCTGTCTATAGGTCCTGGGTATTAATTTCTCTTTTATACTATCACTAAGTAAGGTAGCAGAATTCTAGAAGTGAGTGTCTGGGAGGGAGAGACAGGAGATGGCAGCTACAAGACAGCACCCAAAATACTGCATTGCGTTTGCATGCTTCTTGTCTGAAGAATGAGGAACATCTATTGGTTTAGGCTATTTAGATTTAATCCACCATGAAAACCCTGATCGAATTCCTTTATCTTGTGTTCCATTCACCATATTGCTTTTTTAACCACCAAACCGTGACGGTTAATGCGTATACCCAAGTCTTGGCTGTGCTGGTGATTTGTGAGGCATCCGGGCCAAAGTCACACGAAAGTGAACTGTTATGGTTTGGATAAGGTACGGTTAACAACCTCGTATTATAAGCACTCCGCGAGTAAGATGAGGAATAACTGTAATAAGCCCATAGTACCCGGCCGCTCAAATGCTGTCCTATTTAAACCGGTGTCCGGGTTCTTCTAAAGCACTGGATTGTATATCTCAACTCCATGCAGACTGGCGTGCGATGCGCCGCGACCGTAAGAGCTGTGACGTACTTTGGATATGGGGTGTCTTGAAGGTACGACCTCCACCTACACTTGGAAGGGGATACTACCCTTAGGTATGGCTAAATTTCGAGAAACAAACCTTCACTTTTCGGTTCTCTAATTGCAAACCCGCACATCAAATTGCCTCAATGAATACTTAGCCGCCGTTAAGCAAGGGAATTTTGATCGTACCGTTACTTCGACTGACACCACATGTATCGGATGACTTTTGATAAAGTCCCCAATCACAAGTTTTTACTCCAAACCCTAATACTACGGGTAGGCCTAAGGTTTCTGGGTCAGTAAATGTCGAATTCAGGTCAGAAAGACTTAATAGAGTCAGTAAGATAGCCGCCTCGTTTGTAAACATTGTATTTTGAGAAGGGAAGCTCAAGCCTGCGGTAAGAATATGCCAAAGCCTTCAAATGGCACGGTCAGTGTGATTTGTTCCCTGGGTATTTGATCGTACTTAACTCGGTCAACATTACGTAGGCTGAATGCGTAATTTAATAGTTTTGTAGTTTGTCAAACCAGAAATAATTATTTTTCAAGTTTGTTTTCGTCTCTGAATGTTTGGTAAACTCAAAGTCATGCTTTCTGGATATCAAATGTTAATCAAAGAAATTTGAATCAGGGAGATTGCCAACCAATCATTAGAAAGTACACCTACTCTAAAAAAGAAGGAGGGATGACTCAAAGTACCATGGCTTACTTTAGAATGACCGTTAGTAGCTTGATAAATCTAGATAGGGTGGAAACCGACCTTTTTATCTGCCCCCTCTTGCCACCTTATGGGAGATAAGACAAGTTGATCCTTATTTTGCTAGTACTGGAGTCAAAAACCCGCGAGATTTAGGCCGTGAGAAAAATAGAAATCTACCCAAGAATTTTAGCAATAGTTTCTACGCACTAAGACTGCTAGACAAAATACTTGATATATTTAGGGTAAATGTAAGACGAAATATTGAAGGTAATTGTACTATATTATTCAATTTGTCATAAGTCTTCTCCTCCAGCAAGCGTTGAATCGTTGCCAGACCAGATAAGAACAGTCCGCCCGTATTTCTACAGTCTTTCGGTCGTTGATACCGCCCTACAAAGTTCTCTCTCATCGCTGCGCCTCCCCATTGGTCTTGTTTGCTTGCAGCATGATTCTGCTAGCATTTCGTGCTTCAATGTACATCAAGCGTTAGCTAAACATGCTGTTGAGTACTCTGTATCCAGAGTACGTAGCTTCGTGATAGAACGTAGACGGGGCAATCCTGTTTGCAAGTTCTCTAGAGACCAATTATTTGGCGCGTCGTCTCTGCAAGCCATTGTTTATGACTGCAAAATGGTCATGCTTGCCTTTTGGCCTTCATTTTTCATACTTCCAATTCCTCCACGGGATGAATTTTTGAGTTTTTCATTTGCCCAACAAAGCGACTATTTTTTCAATTTTCTCGAAAACCAAATCTTGTTTTTTCCAAAAATCACCCACATACATCATAGATGTCTCCTCGGCTTACGTCATTTGTCTGGGTGAAGAGAGAAAGCAATTGGACTCTGCTTTGGTGATAACGTACATGATTTTATTTGTTTGTACGGTCAACATATGACCTAGGCAGGTGGGCTTGAGTTGGTGTTTTAGCAACACTGCCTTCTAACTTATTTAGAGGGGTTTGTTACTGGAAGCCTTGCGACTGATGTAACATTGAAAACATTATGTTTTGAGTTCTTGTTCTTTATTTCCAAGAAAATTGGCTCTGCGGAAGCAAAGGACCTGAACTTGGTGACACCAGAGAAACCGTTTGGTCCATCTTTTCATTAAATCCTCTTTTCAGATACAAAAGTTTGTAGGTTTCGATATCCTTTGCCGTTCCATATATTCCCTTTGGCTTACTTGTGAGAGTGTGTGAGTGAGAACGTATGTAGAACATTCTCTATAGAAGATTTCTTTAGGGGATATATGTACATATGTTTTACGATAATAGCTAGGGTAGCAACATCGATCTTCTTGCCTCTTGCAGCTCGGTTTTCAAACGAGTCGGTCCCGTTTACACGCTGTTTAATCCTTATTAGCCTATTCTGAATCTATTGTAATAATCTTTAATGAAATGACACTCCTCTTTGATAATTGGGGCCATTTTTCTTTGCAGAACTGGGAAATTCTTACGCTAAACAAACTACGCTGGGATTTGAATGCAGTTACTCCGAATGACTTCATAGAACAGATATTCTGCAGATTAAAATTATCGCAGCAAATAGACTTAACATTAGTGAGAAAGCACGCAAAAACTTACGTGTCTTTATGTTGTATAGGTAAGTAGTTTCGATTATTGTTAGAAGCAGTTTTGTGTTTATTTTTTCATTTTACTCAGAGGCGATTGCCCCTCAAGCCCAAGTGACCTTTCATTGTTTAGAATAATATGCTTTTGTACCCCGCTTTATACAAACGAGAGGCTTTGCCCCAAAAGTGTTTCCCCTAAGAAAAAGGCTATACTTTGATTTTTATTCCGTGTTGTGAGTAGGGTTGATTTATTATTCGTGCGGTTGCAAATGGATTTACAAGTGAGAAAAGGGGCTTACAAGTTGGGGGGGGGCAATATGGCTGTGCTCCCTTCCCAGGTTCACCCCCATTAGAGTTGATTTATTATTCATGCGGTTGCAAATGGATTTACAAGAGAGAAAAGGGGCTTACAAGTTGGCAGGTTTGATGCAACTTCGGAAAATCTGCACGTTTTTTACCTCCACCCAAAATTTATCGAATGTCTCCCAGCTCCAAAAAAATTGCCTGATTTGACATATTTTCCAACAATCTTCCTGCAGCGGACACTTTGGCTAATTTCAAACTGGAACAATTAAACACTTGACAACCTTCCCCCGTCCCTATAAATGTATGCAGTATGCTAGAGATTTCGTCAGGGACTCTAGTCTATTATGTCAGGGACTTCCTCTAAAATGTTTATAAATTCTTGGAAATTGCGTTTTCATCGTGGTTCAGTCACAAGATGCTTCGCGGTGAGTTCTAGTTACCGATTGAATGGTAGGGTGGGACATTTTGCGGGCTGTGAAGGTCAGCGTGTTTGAGTGACAACATGCAGTCAAAATGTGGTCGGAAAATTGGGAACGAACAGGTCCACTGGAATTCTTGAAAGAATTGTTTTTCATTAAACACTCAATTATGTTTTGGTGTGGTAGAAAATTTGTCTCTTATTTCACTCAAACTTCATGCTTCCTTCCGAGGTAAAAGGAGTATTCCCTTTTGAGCCATAAGGTTTATAGAACAAAGCGCTTCTTTCTGTTTTCCGTAAGTGAATAAGCCCCCTATCATTAAGGAGGAATTTCTAGTTTTAGCGGAAAATTCAGCTTCATGAAAACCGTACTTTGGGAGTACGAAAGCGTTTTATCTATTCGCGCTGTAGATTGCCTACGTCAGCGCGAAAAGCCACGCATTGCCATAGGACTTTGAGTGATTTCAGAAATGTAGGGAAAACATTGTAAAAGCGGAACTAGATTAACCGCAAGACGTCTTGTTACCGAGTCCTCTCCCATCTATTTTTCAATGAGATTCTTCTTTACCTCATGCTGATCATATACTAAGGGCTTTTCAATCGAGCTATCCTAGATTAAATCTTGAGTGAAAAGAACTGACTTAAAAGAAGGATATCACCCATTTCAAATATCATCATGATTTGAAATAAAAAAGGGGCGAACATAGAGAATAAGATGATCGGATTCCTGGATTGGCGAGGGGAACCTGGCAGCCCCCTCCCCTCCCTCTCTAATCTCTCTCTAATTAACACCGTACGTGCGATTTTTGAACAACAACCAGCCCGCACCCCTCACGACGATAATCCTCACGACGAGCATTCAAGCAATTCACCCTTGGAAATAACGCACAAGATTTCTACCATGACAAAGTTATTTTTAGGGATTGTTAAATAAAAATTGATTTCAATGGAGAGATTTGCCCCTCGCATTCAATCACCGCGAAGTTTTGTTCGATATTTTCTATCTTCTAGTTCGAACTGCTTATGATCAAATATCTTAATTGAATGCTTTCAGAATTCAATATAAGTAATATGGTATTTACAAGCCAAGAGCTACGAATTACATTTCTGAAAACACAGTTAGAAGCGAAAAGTCACTTTTAGCAAACATCTTCCTTCAAAACATACTGCCAATGTAAAGAAATCAACTTAGTGTTTTTTTTAATATTTGGAAGTAAATCTTCTGTGGAATGCTTAGCATCGATTATATATGACCTCAGCTGAATAATATTTAAAGGCGATACTCAAAATACAAAACGCGCTGATTGAGCAAAACAGCAATGGTCGAAAGTTCATTTACCCGAAACAAAGGTTGGTAGTCACGAGGCTGTTCTCCATAGTGGGCGTTGCTGGGAAAATATTCGCTGATCCCGTTCAATGGTGAAAACTACCTTGAAGGTGTGCGGGGCATTTATTCTCTATACGTCAAGAGAACGTCAAAGGAGTCATCAGTTTTTCAATAGCTTCAAAATTACTCACGCTTTGATATCGGAATTTTGAATTAATCCCGTTAATTATTTGCTGTTGTTTTTCCAAAGTCGGTTCTTGGCTTGAGAATTTTCCGCTTTCGGTCCCATGACCCTACCACCTAGCTTGGTATGCGAAGTTGACGATTCCCAAAATAGATAATCCCATAAAGTGGCAGAATGCCGCCATTTTATTTTGTAAACATGATTATTATGGTATGATGATTATTATGCTTGCTGTTGGTGATGGAGGTCGATAAGATCATGATTGACGTTTTTGATTATGATCACGACGATTTACACGATGCCGATCGATTTCTGGTTGCTATTCGTCAAGGGGCGTTGTCTAATGCAAGGCTGTGTTAGCAGTGTTGTAACGAAGTAGGGTGCCTAAGTTTGATATAGAAGGGCCTCTCGATCAAAAGCAGCCCCCAGGATATTTCAATACCCATGTTGTAAAGACTTAGCTATTTCAATACCAATGAGAGTTCACCTAATTTTCAACAGCCTAAAACGTTCTTTAACTTAAGCATGTAGCTCAAACCGCCCCCCCCCCCCCACACCCCTAGTTCACGATGAATGTTGTCATTTCTGCATCTTGCTATTCTGTTCAGAACATATTATAGGTACAGGCTTCGTTTCCATGTGTGTTAGCCTCCTATTCATTTCAGAATACAGTGTCAACCTTTGACAAAGGCCTTTGCTCATTTCCTGATCTCCACAGGACAGGCGGCAAGCTCCTGTGTAACTATTAGCCAATATAAAAACACTCCATGCACCGTAGCATTATGGCAACGAAATATAACCGAATATACATTTCATGATTGCATTTCATTGTGTCGTGTATTGTTTGTTATTATCCCTGATAAACTGTATTAGGTCTGCAGGATTAACGGATTTCACTTCAAAGGGCCTAATTAGATTTCTAATGGTGGATACACGTTACTGAAATTCCTTCCAACAAAACCGAGGAAATATCTTTGTTATTATTTGTTTAACTTTAATTTAATCGAACTGATGTTCTAGTTTTTATCCCCTAAACGTTTCATGTTTCCAATCACGACTTTCAGAGGTCAGTTGTACACCCCGCGAGATAGCACCGGCTCTATCCTTCAAAACCAAAGTGTTATCCGTGCCTATTATCGAGCAAGGAAAACTTCACCATCCACTTGTCGTAACATCCATCTAGACGTCAAGGGGTATATCAGCATTGAATTGAATTTGATTAAACAAACTATACCGTTGCAACCACTGTCGTGAAGATAAGCGCACGCAAAGGATTGTGGTAATGTCTTTTCAAGCAATCCTCAGTATGGTTAGGAAATTGTGGGTGGATTAGGGAAGAAAAACTCTTTTCCTTTGCCGGGACATCACTAAAACTGTCTCCAGGATGTAAGGTTTTATACATTTGTGAAGTATTCCTTGTTCATATCTTTAGTTACTATCGGGGAAATGGATAACAGGACCATGCTATAAATTGCCTTAAACTATCCTGTACGTAATTTCATCAAATATCTGTTTAGGCCCTTTCTGTAATTCAGGCTTCTCTAACTTCTTCAATGCTCTTACGATTCCATCTCTATGTATAGATATGTGTTAGATGTGAAGGGGGGGGGGGGGTTGATGGTCTTTAGAAATGATAACGAAGGGAATTGTCTTCCTTCGCAAACGTTGTTCTGATTCCCCTTTTTCTTTTGTAGATTTCCGTTTCGCCTTAACCCCACCATCAATGATTGCAGCTGCAGCCATTTGCGTTGCATTTCATGGACTAAACAAATCAATTGGACTTGTTTGCCCAACAAGACAAGAACTTCTTTCTATGATGCATGATATAACTGGAGCAGAAGAGGTTGGCGATTTTTTTCTCTCGTTATTCCACTTCACTGACGATGTTAAACTGTAGTGGTTAAATTCTAGTTAAAAAATGCTTCTTGCTTGTGCAAAGATTTGGTGAGAATGCTACTTTACCCTTTATAACCTGAGTGGCTGGGATTTTGAAAAAACCCTGCGTTAATGTCAATATTGTGCGACATAGGACAAAGACAGGATGGTATCTAGCATACAATGCAGTGAAGAGGCTTAATGTATTTCGGTTTGAGAACGTGGGTTTTGAGGGAAATGGTTGAACATCTAATCGATGGAAAGATAAAAATGAAGTTGCTTTATGATCACTCCCTTTCTTTCGTACACATGGCGTTGATCGCAGATATTTATGTCTGCCTGCTAACCATTTCAAGATTAAGAATTCTGACTTAAATGCAGGGTATAATTGGGTCATGGGGGTGTTTGTTGATAAACAGGGCCTTCTGTTGAGGTGGTCTAATTTAATGTAAATTGTTGTCATTGGAAATGGCTATTTTTTCTTGAGATGTTTTTAGTGGCTTGCCTTTAGCCGTAGAGAGAACACTGTGGTTATCGCTTTGGTTTTTATATTATATTCAGTCTACACAAAGGAGCTCGATCAAACGTTACCACCTACATCGAGTGCATTTAGGTGCTATGATTTGAGATATGCTGCATTACGTACTAAGACCATTGCTGTTGGATAATTTGTTCTCAAAACGGAACAAATGCAGAAAAAATATACAGAAATCTAATTTCATGGAAGTGGAAGAGTCTGAAATAAAACAGCCTCTCCCTCATTTATCTGTTGGCCTACATAATTTGTAACATTTAATGGCCTTCCCCTCCATCTGTCATGGACTGTAAAGTTGTTTTTGGTCGACTGGAAATTGATTGTTGTGACTTCTTGACAGTTGAAGTGCTCCGTAGTCAAACTGAGATAACTTCAATGCGAAAACCAGATGAAAAATCGGAAACGGTAACTGAAAAGAATTTGAAGATCGCTCAATCGTGCGAAAGTGAAAGGGGCCGACGCCGTTGTTCAGTTTGTTTGAAAAATAGGTCCTTCCCATCTTTACTGACCCACCTTTTATCAACTGCCAATGAATGGACCGTGGAAGAAAAACTGGCTGCATTATCCCACGCGAAGTTCAATCTGGCATTTCGTAGCCTGCATTGAATTACAAAGCCAGCAAATCATGCACCAGCTTACCACCATAATCTGCCGTATTACAATGTCTTGCAAATGAACCGTTTCGTGAAAATCACAGCCCTTGTAATGCAGAGAACACGCACATCGTTAGAGGGTCATTTGTGTGTGGTAACATAGAAACAATGTAATGTCAGCTAGGTTTTGCACCTGATAAACAGATGATTTCACAGAAAGCAAGCAGGCCAATGTTTACGAACAATATTGCGACAGCCTTACATCTTTTAAGGAGAGCCAATTTGCTTAGGCCCTGATAGTTTCAATGACTTAATAACGGATCAAGGCGTTATTTTGGTATCTTTGTTGTATAATTTTTTTTTGCCGATTCATAAAGTCAAGAAATGTAAACACAAAAAATAAAGTGCTGCATAGTTCGAATCGTTTTATGTTAGTCTGATTGGCTTTACAGCATGGAAACTATTAGGTGAACATAAGCAACATCGCAAAGATGAGTTTTGGACAGTTTTTGTAAGCAAAGGCAGTTAAACTTGTAGCTTCTTCACTTAATTTTCATGAACAGTTGACACCTTCATCCGTTATGAGGTTTAGGCCCGATGCTCGTCAAGGTTTTCATCGAATATTTCTTTAATCCCTCTTTCTTCAATGGTATTAATAATGTTTCAACAACGTTGCTTTTTCTGTACGTTTAACAGAAACGAAGCTTTGTTGATGGATGGAAAAGCTCACACATTAGGCCCATCCTTTAGGCACATAGAAAAGACTAAACCCCTTTACGACAGACTGCCTCGACGGTACCTTATTTCTAAATCCAAGTATCCTTGTAAATAAGGAGGGAATGCAGCTACAAAGCGGTCTCTGAGCTACGGTTTAACAAGCGTTACGGTTTTGAATGGTGGACAATGTTGGCCCTGTTTCTTCAAATTAAACCCAAGATCAAATCAGGATTTGGTTTCATAGTAACGGGAATTTCTAAGTTTGGAAAGCAATGTCGGAAAGATTGCTCTACATAATGGCATGTTTGAATCATCCCTGGCAACGAGGATTCCTGTTGCAGAAGAACGTGAAGGATATTGCTTGCATTCAGTGATCAGTTATGTTAGAGTGATAGTTGTCATGCATCATCGTCATAATCATAATCATCTCCATCATAATTACCTATCAGTCGATCACCAGCAATTGTCGTCGTAATCACTTCTATCATAATCATCATCACCAATCATCCATTATCATATATACAGATTCTTAACCCACAGTGTCAAATTCAACATATCTCACGGTTCTAAAATAGTCTTGCAAGTTCCTTATATCAACAGCCATGCATGCAATCGTGTTGATGATCATATCCAGATCACTTCGGTCAGCCGTAGATAGATTATGCCTTGGCAGAAGATTGATGTGCCAAAAACGTGATCCAGCTTTGCCAGAAATTGATCTTATTCAAGGTTATCTGATTTCCCTCAATCGATGTGGCTAAAATCAAAATTGAATTACCCGTGACATTACGAGCTGCTGTAAAGCCCAAAAGAGGTACATTTCACACAAGTTTTTCATACCAACATGTCTATGTTAGAAATCTGCACTATGGCAACAGTGATCCTGGTTAGTCTTGTTTTGAAAATAAACGGAACAGAATTACTACCTAATGCTTTTTAGCCACGCTTTCGTTAGTTTGGTCACCTTTGGTTTAAAGGATCGTATATTCGTGACACTGATGAAACTGGGTGTCGTTAGCTTTTGTGTTATGGAACTTTGAGCATCCTGCGGTGGGAAGTTGTTACCAGTTATGTTTGAAGTTGTCTGTTATGTGGCCTCTATCACTTTCGGATTTAATCAACCTTCATATCAGCCCAAACTCACCTTAGCTGAAGATGAAAATACAACATTGCATCCAGTAAAACGGTCACTTTTGTGACCAGGGTGCTATCTGTTGTAGGGAGGTGTCCGCCCTGGAGGGATTTATTCGTTAAAAGATTTTTCTGTTTTCCAGAGGTTGCTTAGCCCAATGCCTTGATCGTAGGAAAAAACTTTGGGACCTAACACTCAACTGTTGTTTGAAGGTGTTTTTATCGACATATTACTGTTGTATGGGGATATCACCGTATTAATGACCAGTGTCTGCTGGTGACTTAAGAACCCTTCACAGGAACAACGACTCGCCCCCTATTCTACTTTTCAATACTTTGGAATGCAGCAAATGCAATGTAAATCTCAGGCAATAAAGAAAAGTAGCCATGAAAGAAAAGATTTGATCTAATATTGTTTCAGATTTGTTTCACTCGCGAAACCTTTGTACAGTATTAGGCCTTTAGCTGACATATTTTAGCTCTTTGGCGAAATTTAAAATGCTTCTCTGACTGAATCATTTTTGCAAAGTGCATCTTTTTCCGTTGCTAGGCACCTTCCCCGCGCTAAAATGTTATGTTGTCTCATTCGGGTCAAGATATGAAATCTTTCACGAATATGGCACTTGAAACCACAAATCCTTGGCCAGGTTTGAGTGCACGAAATCAAGATTATGTCAACTAAAAGAATGGCCTGCATTCCAACCCATAAACCTGTGTACTTTTAGCAGATTCAACTCTGACCGCTGCAAGTTAAAAAGATTATAATAACGACCCAGATATTTCTCGACCTCTCACCTAGATGCTTCTTTCCTACTAATTACATTATGAGTTTCTAATTTTTTTCTGTTTTTATCCAGCCCACAATGTGCTGCAAATATATCGCTGTCTGCCATTTTACAGTCAACCGGATTACATAATTTTTGCTTTGTTGTTTTGAGATTTTACTTTAAAAGCAGTCTGCATTCAGAGCAGACTTTTCTGCTCTTAATTTGGCGATGTTGTTGTTTTGTTTCCAAGCAATTTTGCCTGAACATTTTCGCCCGGTAGTATTATTTTGGTAAAGAAGTCTTAGCAAGTTTCATAGATAACGAGAAATTTTAGCATCTTAGGCCTGAAACCTCCCGTTAGAATCATATTCAATTGCCAAGCTAAGGTTTTTCTGCTTTACAAGAGTGCTGATTTTAATTCCGTACATTAAACGTTCTCGTTTCTTCAATTGCAGGAATATCTTTCCCAGTGCCAAGTTTTGATGGAAGATGTACTGAACTTGAACAAAAATAACAACAACAACGAAGAAGTGAATCAAGGAGACCAACCAATAACACCATCAGACATTCGAGATGTGCATTTCTAACAAGATTTGCCATAGTTGTTCCCAGACCTCTCCTTGATCTGGCGTTACGAATTAGCAATCGGGTTCTTGCGTTTAGGAAGATTCAAGGCCAGTTTGAGAACCGCTTTGAATCGGTGTGTCAGACAGAAACCTTTTTAACGCAGACCTTTGATTTCCCTGTGTTTACAACGAGAAAGCATTGCTAGCCAGGATCAAGGAGGGGTGGGGAATCCGCAATGCGGGTAGCTGGATGAATCGAAGCACCCATTACCATCGTTTTAGGCTAGTTCCTATTAGAACTCCCTGAGAGGCAACAAGGAGGCCTGTCTTTGTCCTAGATGTTAGTGTTCAAAAGCAATTTGTAAAAATATGATTTGTTTAGAGTAGCTTTGTAGACAATTGAAAATGAAAGCATTGGTTGAGCTGGCTCCGCCATGTTGCCAGGATATCTAAGACAGAAACTGGGTGGGCCAGTTTCAGTTGCCTCTCTTTTGAGCAGCCTCTTTTGCGAACTGCATCGTTTCATTCGTCAAAGTTTATACATACCCCTCAATACTTTAAACAACTCCGAATCCCCTTTCATAGCATTTTACAATTTACAGAAATCACCCAGTCTGTTTAAAGCTAAGTTAGGGCTATTTATAATATTTATTATACCTATCAATATTTCACAAACTAAAATTTACGCGTTATGTCTCCTTTGGATCGAAATCCTTTTTCTCCTCCATCTTTTAATTTTAACAAAGAACGTAGCAGTTAGTTACTTTGAATGCGATCACACACAACTAGTTTCGAACGCCAATGAAGATGTCTTAAACTTGCGATAAGCGCTGTATCTGCCGTTATGTCACGCTTGATAGTCATGTCCGCATTCCGTTGCGTCGCTGTGTGCGCTGCAATTCCGTCGTACAAGTTGCAGTTGCTCGTAATGCGATGTTACCGTGACTGTGGAGTGGGACTATAGCGAGCTTTGTAACTGCTGTTTTCGTCCAACAGCTGCCAACATCATTTGAGCATGGGTTAAAGTTAATTGTGGGCAAAGCGATCAATCAAGCCATATCATTTCAGTAAACGAGGTCGAAATTGAAACCGAGGTCAACATTACAAGCAATTCCCAGCTCTTGTTTTGTTTTTCAGCCCTCTCTTTAATTCCCTCACTTCTTCAATTGAATTTTTAGCGTATTTTCACATCATAGTCACACCATAGTTAAGTATTCTTAAGCTTTCCTTTTCCAACGGGCCTAACGATTTTAATTGATATGGAAAACTTACGATTACAAATATTGAAACTATTATCGGCCATTCGTATTCGCCATGTAGCATAAGTCTGCATCGAATTTCACAAATACTTATTAGCCTGGCTGTCGTTGATTTACCTATGATCTTTCAAAAGGCCAATCAAAGGCACGTTTGCGTTGCATCTCTTTAGGGATTCCGAGCGACTTAAAATGTGTTTGCATTTCTTTAGCTCCCGTGAAAATTGTTTAACGGCAACCAACAAAATTGTTTAAACCCAAACCATTTGTACTGGACATTAAATTGAGTGATCCTCCACTGAGCCCTTAGCAAATATAGGCGCTGCAATCTGGATAAACAGAATTTTTGTAATTGAAGAGAATTTTCTTTTTGGGGCTGTTATTCTTTATTACGTGGGTGTTCTAAGCTTCGCCTATCGTAGAGTTAAAGTCTGGCAGGACCGGTTTCTTTAAAAGACTGGTTCCTTTTAGTTTTGTTCTTCTGTTCATTATGATATCCTAATGCTTACGTGGAGACATAAACAAACCCAAGGCCTGCACTATAGATTTATTCCAGTTTCATTCCTCCTCGCCCCTTAGATCCCCACCGGCCTTTTTACTTGTGTAAGACAAAAACGCCTGTATGACAGGGTTTGTATATAAGACATTTTGAAGACTGGGGTTTAAAGCACCCTTTTCTCGATAAACTTCGGCATGGGCTCTCGAAATGTGATGAATGATTGATCGTTTAGGCCTGACATAAAGACCTGTCGCGACTTTTTTACTTTTAACTGAAATTTAGTCTTGAGAGAACTGGAGATTAGATGTGTTAATTTTAAGTTTGAACTTCGTGTAAGATGTACATATGTTTTTATAGAGTCATTTTTAACAGACATTTTTCCAATCATGTGAACCAGTTTTAATGATGAGCCGTTTTAAATATATGTTTTAGTTTTAGTTCACATATTTCTCCGGCTACTTTTTTTCACCCTAATTTTGTATGTAATCAGGGCCATTTCAGGGTTTGAATATCAAACATAAGTAATACAGAGAAAATTGTTTTTTTATCCTCAGCTCTTCTTCTTCTAAAATGAGAGGACATGTGTGAACTGTAATTTCTCAATTATGAGAACGAGAACTAGAACGAGAACTGATGTTTGAGCGTCTTTTTAATATGAGCATAGAAAATGGCATGCCATTTGAATCTATAGTTATCATTTAAGATTTGCCTATAATGGTGAGTGAAAGTAGTTATATTATAAAGAGTAAAAATGGGTTATATGTATCAATGATACATAAGATAAGGCTTTAGTTTTCAAGAACGAAGAATTCAATTTTACAAGTTAATCTAAACTTCTAAAGTTTTATTACCAGTGTTGTTGCGAAGAAGTGGAATGAGGAACTGCGGTGGAGCAAAGAGAGACTAGCGCTAGGAGAGATTCACACGTTATCGTCTTCACCATCATTATCATTATCATCATCAAAATCTATTTATAGCAGGCCATGACCATTTCATCAAATACAAGTAACCTGAAGTTTACTGTCTTTGAGAGCATCTAAATTGTAAACGCTAGATACAAAGAAAAAATATGAAACCGAGAACATATGAAATGATCCTCTCAGAGTGATCCTCTTAAGGTGAAAAAATCGTTGGTTTTACCCCTAGAACCACAAAGAATTGAGCGCACTCCTCATTTAGGTTTACTTAAAAGACATTCTTAAGCTGCAAGGAATCGAATGTCTCTTAATTTCTAGCCAAATCTGTTTCTTTATTATTGCGTAATATTAATTATATTTTATGTTCCTTTTTATGGCAGCGTTGGATGATTTAAGCGTTTGATAATTCAAGCAAATTTTATTTCTCTCCAATGTTCAAGCTATTGGATGTGGTCAACTGCAATGGTTTGGGAGTGATTATCCCCCACTTTTATAGGAATTTATCTTATTGTTCGTAAAAATTATTTGTTATATTTACCTATAAAAACTGGCACTTTAGAAGAGGGCGCTTCCTCAATATAATATGGGTGTGTCCCAATGTATTCTCTAAGGATTACGCCCATTATTGTCCAATCCAGCCTCTTGCAGCCGACAGCACCACCGGGTGTGGCTTGTGAATTCGTTTGTTTGTTGGTGGATAACATTGAGATCTTCTCTGTAAATTGCTTATTTTCTGAATGTAAACAAAATGCTGATGTAATCGAACAACACATACAGTACGCTTACTGAATGAAATCATGAACTTGGCGGTCATAATTAACACGAAAGTTAATGAATGCTTCTATCGAAGTTGTCTTTATCGATATGAGTATTGTTATCACTAAAATTTGGGACAAACCTTCTAGTTAACGGAGTACAAAAGAGCAGGCCAACTTAAAAGCCCTCGTTCCTTTTTGAATCATTGAGGGCGGCTTGTAATGGATACACCACTTTGAATGCTTACTTTGGTTTGTCGTCTCGGTTTTCAAGAACAAGAAAAACTAATTTTGTATCTTATGTCTTTCTTGCAACATCACCATTTCTCATTTTAATGGACTTTGAACTTTACCGTTCATCTCTTTCATCGATAAAGCCTTGAATTTCAAATGATATTTCATTACAATTTGAATTCTCTGTTTTTGAGTACTTACCCCGAATCTACTTTTGATTAGGTGAAGTAAAAATGAAATCAACCTTTATTTATCTGTTCATACTTCGATATGTTTTTTGGCCTTGCCGACAGATTTAATGCAAGACAATCTACTGCAATAAAACTTGTCTTTACTTTTTCCCTGCTTCAGGGTAATAGAGGGTCTCCTAGGGGTTTTCGGGAACAAGGGAACATGGCAACAAATGGTACAGAAACAAGGGAACAACAATTACTAGTTTGGGGGCAAAAGAGAATATTTTTTTAATTTTTCAACTTTAAAACATGCATAATTCTACTAGGGCGTCACCCCGAGAGCCCAACTTTCAAGCAGCTGTGTACACCACTGGAAAAAGATCAAAAATTTAACCTCTGAAGTAGGTCGATGTCTTGTTAGTGTGCAAAAATAGTGAATATTAAGCATGTTTTAAAGTCCTCGCATATTTAGCCGGTGCACCAGACCCAAAACCTAACGAAAGTTCTCGAAAGGGGTCTGGGCCAGAGGCTACCTGAAAAGACCGTAATGATGATCCAGCGAAGGGTGTTCTTTGGGTGCCTCATTGCTTTGGTGACAATATACTTCTCAAAACAAATCTCCCAAAGGAAAGCATTTTTAATAATGGCTATGTATCTATTGAATAAAAATTAAAAGTGTCAATTCCCATGTGAAATTTTACAGACTTTTATTCTCGGTTGTTTGAGCTTCTATTTTACCCTTGGGAACACCATTGCTATGATAAATACCATAATACGGACTGTGTACCATCTTTATCAAACTCTAATTTCGAGTTGCCTCCGGCTATTGGAAGAATAAATTCGAAGAACAGTTATGTCTCTAATTGGTAGGTAAGAATTCCTCTTTTCTTTTCTTTATAACTAGTTTTTACTTGGGAACAGAAGATTTATAACTTGACCTTGCAGTATTTTGTCGACAGCACGTGAAACCATAGGCCTCCCATCGAGTTGATAATCCAGGGAGTAGGGACGTCGTAAGCATTTAAAAGTTGGAGCGAACTGGTAGGAAGTGGCACCATGTCACTGAAATGGGGGTATTTTTTATAGGTCGCTGCTTGAAAGGAGGTTTTTCAGGAGTTAGGGGCACGTGCCCCTAGTGCACTCCTGTATCTACGGGGTAGCGTTAATAGTGATAAGAGTTATGCATAACCGAACGAGAAAGGAAAAAGGGAAACGTGGCTCTTTGAGTGTTAGTTATACAGCACCCATTTTGTACTAAATTCACTCCACAAAACTGAAGTAAACGAGTCTGTTAAAATGCACAGTTGCCTTTCTACATCTTTTCTTAGAGAACTACAATCATGGAAACATTTTTAGAGATCTCTAAAAAAACCTACTACTTTCTAGTTTTTAACCACAACTCTATCCTAACCTAATCATTCGGTTATCCAGATCAACTTTGAGCTGAAACATAATTGATTTAAAAACTGTTCGGTGGTTTCCCTTAATTTTATTTCCCAGCCAAATTTGCTCTGCTAGTTATACAAGGTGCACCACTCAAAGATTATTTTGTGGAAAGAAAAAAACTCAAAACCGTGCCTTGAGGCATGCCATGGCATCTCTCCTTAACAATGATTTGTAACCAAAGATAATTCAAATGTTAGATTAAATATCAGGTTTGTCATTTTTGTAATAGATACAATGTTCCAAAAATACTAAATTTACTTTAAACGAATGCACTAAATCAATGCTGCTTGCTACATGATAGAGGATACATTAGAAAAATGCAAATACCTATTTGTGCCAGAAATCTAAAGCTTAAAGTTTCTTTATATAAAATATTCAACAAACAAGGAAATGACTGCACAATATATAGATAGGTTTTCTCGCTATTTTATATCCAAACAACTTTATCAAATTAAAGTCTTAAAGACTAAGGAAAACTTTCATGGAACTTGTCTCCCTCTCCAAGTATTTTCAAACATTGTTCATAAATATGTTTCTAAATAGGTCTTAGGTTATATGTCAGCGACTAACGTGCACTTTAGGATGCCTTAAAGCATTTTTACGTATCAGACTCTGAATCCTTTCCACAATCCTGTTTGATAGGCAGAAATTAATCAGTATCCTTTTCATAGTCTCATTATCCTTTTGGAAAATCTGCGTGGAAAATATTCAACCTTTGCTCTGATTCGTCACGTGAGCTTCTCTAGGAAGATTTGGATTCCACTGTTTAAATCTATGATTTATCTCCCTAAACCAGAGCTCTAATACTGGTTTTAAATGAGGTCTGGGTATCTGTCAAACCAATTTCTAAGTTACAATAAGCATTGTTACAGGTTGCTAAAAAACGATTTTTCATCGCAGAAGAATGCTGGAGCTTTTTCTAAGAAAAATTAGAGAATAGTTTTGGGTACGCGTTTCTCTCTAGAAAAATACGTTGATCTAGTAAAATAATTGGTCTGGTTAAGAATGAAGAGTATCTTCGCGAAATGGCCACTTATTTAGAAATCAACCCCGACTTAGCCAGCGTGCTGACTCGACTTATCTATGAAAATCCACTATTTTAAATAAGAGAAGTTTTGAAGTCTGCACGCAGGCTAAATTTGCTTCAAGAAAGCGTATTCTATCGTTAAATCATAAACAAAAAGGGTTTATTTATTATGTGGTTATAATAAAGATTATGACAATCAGAAAATTTTGTCCTGTCTTCACAAAGACAATAACGATTTCATCTCAAGCTCAAGACCCAACAAACTTGAATTATTCCATATTTTGCCACACCCATTTCAGGAAAAATATGGAAAATAAGGCTAGAAGCTTTCAGTTTGGCGAGCCGCTTCTCATAAAAAATGCTCTTAAAATGTTCATTAGTTAGGCCCTGTTTCATAACCGTTTGGTCAAACAAATCCACTTATATGCAAAGGGAATTATAGACTTTTAGGAATGAGCTCTCTGATGAAGAAAGTATTCGACAAAATGAAAAACTCGCTCCAATATAAAAAAATCCTTGTGTGGATGTTGATATTCCCTTTGTCAAAGTCCATCCAAAGAGAACTTTTCCGAGATACATTTGCCAACGGGACCTTTGCTCTCGAAAAGCATTGGAAGGCCTAATTTAGCCTTTTTTCTTTAGGTTGCCATTTTCAAACTAAAGAAAATAATTTGAAAAATAGAAATAGTCAGCAAATGATCACAATATTCACAAGGCTATAGTAAACAATAATCAATAATTAAATAGTTAAATTAAAATGATAATCAAATCAAGCAAAAAGGTTATTGGGAAAAATCGAAGAATCAAATTTGGATGTAATTAAAGCAATGAAGGGAAAAAACATGTTATCACAAAAAGTGTAAAAAATATGAGTAAGAGGAATCATGATTATATGAACAAAGAGAGATTGAGAAATTATGGGCACGAAAGACTGGTTTCATAGAGCTGTAAAATGCAATCAATTAATATCTGACTAACAATCTTATGAAAATCAAAATCATTGATGGTCGATAGAACAGAATTTAAAGCTTTTATGAAATGCTGAAAATATCTAAAAAATCAAACTCGTGATTGTTTATCATTTGTCAATTGTCAAATAAAATCAATTGTCACCATGATTATTTATCAGGAACAACTGTTCGGGAGAAAAATGCCTCTGGGTTATTTTTCAGATAATTTTTAATCCAAGCTGTACAGGAAATCAAAATTTATTGAATACAACGGAGAAAATGATTTTTTGAAAACGACCGAGATTCAGGGAAGCCTCGACTCCTTAAAAATTTTAGCAGCATGAGGAAAATTTGTTTTACATTGTTAAAAGTTAATATTGTTGCACTCATTTACCAGGAATGTTCGATATTTGTCTGTATCTATAACATCAACTTATCTATGTATTTTAAATTTAGCTTATAAGTCACCTTCTTGACGGAAGGCATTGGGTACACGAGAATGAACCTTTAACTGCTTCTCCATAAATTCACCTAATTTCGTGACAAGAAAGTTGCTCATCTTTATATTCTCAATTTGTTTATCAGAGGTGCACATTTATATCAAATTGCATAATCTCAAAGCTAGGAAATTTAATTGATAGAAAATACACCTAAAGCAGTAATCGCTTTAACGTGAATATTGAATTAAAGAGGGATTTTTTCTCTTAGAAAATAATATGGAAATTTGAAAAATAACCGACAACTTTGAAAAATGCTTTTAGAATTAATATAAAAAAGCTTGCAAGTTACACCTGGAAAAGAACTTGCCCTGAACGGGGCCGCAGAGAGCCATGCCAGACCCAGGGGCAGGATAAATGCTTAGGCCCCTTCCTACCCAAAGCAATGAACCTAAAAGCGTTTAATATTTTTCTTCGATTTTTATTTATATTCGTAAAGCATTTTTAACCTTTCTCAAAGCAGATACGATTTGTTTCTCTTAAAATTGTCATTTTATTAAGAGTCATATTTTAAAAGAGACATTCTCATTACAAGTCGGTTTCTTTTTGCTTCTAGGCAACTTGGCCCTGCCCTGAAACAAATATTTAGCACAAGTATTCTTTGTTCAGAAGATAGCTCTCTGGAATTCAGAAATGTGTTGTCGTGAGTCTATGAATCTATTGATTTAGAAATCTTGACTTTTGAAATCACAAAATCAGTTAAGTATGGGAGATGCGATGAGACCAAAAAAAGTTTATAAGTTGATCGGCTGGCTGTTCATCAAACTTTTACAAAAGCGACCAAATGACTGTGATTGGATAGGAAACGTAGGAAACGAGAGAGAGAGAGAGAGTGAGAGATATACTATTTTATATATTATGTTTTGCGTTTTTATATATTATGTATTTATTCGTTTTGCGAATACCTCCCTTAATCAAACATGTCCCGGCAGCAGGTTTCTTTTTTGAGTTTCGGGTTTGTATCAATTTCTCTATTGATATTTCACAGTTATCTAGCTAGTGTGACTATCACACCGTTTAAAAAGGTTTAAGATAAAACTTTGCCATGATTTATGTCGCTCAGTGGCTTGGATATAATAATTGGGCCACTATGAAACAATCCGTTATTATTTCGTTGTAGTTAGTACCATTTCTATATACATCCAACATCGTTAAAGGCCTCCAAGTAACTGTAGCCTCTAAACACAGGACAAGAGACACGTTCGTCTGCTGCATAATTTAATGCAGTGAAGGAAAACAAAAATTCTGCAAGCTTGAAGGAATTGTGAAGAAAAGGACAACAGGCTCTGCAGTCGATTAATATGTGTATTTACTGAATGAAACAGAAATAACGATAATGTCACATGATTCTTGTAGAGAGGCTAGTCTATAAACTAGGAACAAAGTGGCTCGGATACCATGATTTCTCGATGATGGGTTCGTTTGAATGTTCGTTAGTGGGCTGGTGGAGGCTAGGGGGGGGGGGG